TCAAATTGTCAACACAAATTAATTTATACCTACTAGTAATAATTGTAATGAAATCAAATAACTGATATTTAAATTAAATTAAATAATACAATTACAAAATTGTATGTTATACAACATATTTAAACAATTTAAATATAATTTTATTAAAATGTATTAATAAAATACTGATGGACTATGATTTTTTTTTTCATTTACAAATTTTAAATATTAAAATATTTCTATTGTAAAAATTTGTTATTTTTAATGATAGTATAAAAATAATCATTTTAAATTATACATACCAAGATTTCACAGGAAGGGCAATATCTATCCACATCAATATCATTTTTTTGAACACCTAACTCAAGAGCTCGTTGTCTTATATGCTCAATATTTTGTTCATGTCTCTTGGCAGATTCCTTTTGTTTTTGTTGAATTTTCTTCTGCAATTCTTCGGCACTAGCTGATTGTGCTGCATATAAAGCTGTTAATTTGTTTTCTCTTTCTTTAGCTTTTTCTCTAGCTAGTTCAAGTCTTTCTTTTTCCTTTTCTTGTTGTTCTCGACCAATACGTTCCTCTTTTATTCGCCTCCTTTCTAATATTTGTTCAATACGCCCCTGGCGTTCAGCTTCCAATGCTTTTAAGCGTTCTTCAACAGCTGCCTCTTTAGCAGCTTTTCGCACTTGGTTACGCTTGCGTTCTTCTAATATAGTTTGCAGTCTATCTTCTTGTTCTTGCCAGAGTGTAAGAATATCATGCCGTCGATTTTGTGCCTCCAACTCATTAATAAAAGCTATTTCACGGAGTTTTTCTTCTTCATCATGTGCTTTTTTTTGAATTTGCTGCAAATGTAACTTACGATTTTCTTCAGCACGTTTTAGTTTTTTATCTATATTAATTCGTTTTTCATCAATAATTAGACTCTGCAACATTTTTCTCTCCCCAACCTATAATTAAAATAAATTATAAAGGTAAATCGCCAATTTTTTTTTTTTTTTAACATGTTTATCTAATAAATTAAAGAATATAAATATTACCTTTTTAAGTAGTTCACGGACTTTAGTTGATTTGTCTTGCAATAGCTGTTGACGTTTTTGATGTGCTTTGGCTTGTCTTGCACTATAAGTTTGTTTAATGGATTCTGTAGATCTACTTATATCCCATGAAGGCATTGCAATAGAATCAATAGCACTTTCATTACCATATTGTATCAATGCTTTTATTTCATTTATTGTGTACATTCTTTCTGTTAGTATCATATTGTCTAAAAGGTCTGAATAACGATCAGATTGTGTCATATCATCACTACAGCTACTCTCAGCATTTTCTAATTCCCGTATTTCTCTGGCCAACATCATCTCTTCGTCAAAGAATTGTCTATTGCGCATCAATTCTTCATCACACATTCGACGTTCTTCAATTTCGTCTTTTAGCATTTCTTTTCTCATCTGATCAATTATTTTATTTTTAGGAACAGGTGGTTTATCTGGCTTACGTTTTTTTTTAGGATATACCACTGCATTAGATATGATAGGACGATCATTTTTATCAGGTAAAATGCTCTTAGTTTCTGGTTTATCTGGACTAGATGTTATATCTAAAGCTAAAGTGGGCATGGAACTAGCAGAAGATGGTGCTTGAAAACGTTTCTTTATATCAAATGGTGATTTAAGTTTTATACTACTTGAACTTTGTGTTAATGGATTACTACGGCGTGATCTAATAACAGTTTCCCAACCGTCATTTCCTTTCACGATACCACGTTTAGATGCTTTTGAGACTTTAATATCAATTGAAGTTTTAGAACGAGTTAATTTTTCTGGTTTCTCAGTTATATTGACAACATTTATAGATTCAACTGATTTCTTTTTAGATTTAACTAAATTAGGTTTCTGATTAATATTGTCTTTATTGTTTAAATTATCTACAAAATCATTTTTGGTAATATTTAATGTTTGAAAGTTTGTTTTATCTTTAGTATTGACCACAATTGTATTCTCATTACACTTTTGCTTGTTTTCTTTAGAAATTAAAGTCTTTGAATAATATTTAGCATTTTCAATAGTCTTTGTAGTTGTAGTATTATTAGTAGATTTTGTTAAGCGAGGAGTTGATGTTGATGACTTTTTTGACAGATCTATTTTAGTCTTATCTTTTTCATCTACTTTTGATTTCAATACTTTCAAGGGCTTAGGAACAAGAACTGGGATTTGTTTTCTCTGACTGCAATCTGAAACCAAAGACTTAGTAACTGGTTTTGTTATAGGTTTAAATACTTCTTTAGATGTATCTAAATCAGTATCTTTGCCAATGAAATCAAAGTCAGTTTGACAACATTGATTAGAATATAATTTTTCAATTGAAATATTTTCCATGATAATTTCTTCATTTTTTGATTGAGTAGAATTTATTGAACTTTTATCACTAGATATTGATTCAGATAGTAGTTCTAATTTCCTTCGAGTTAACCCAGTTGAAACGGGAGGCTTTTGAATCATCTGAAAAATGTTATCAATCAATAAAATAACATAAACATTAATAAAAATATAAAAATAAAAATAAAATTGTGATGAATTAACCTTTCTAGGAGAAGCACCTCGAATTTCCCAAGCAAGAAAATTTGGTCTTTGAGGAGGATCAGTATGTTCATATTCCCACTTCAATCGAAACCATTCAACTAAACTATGAAAATCATGTATATAATTTTGTAAAACCATGATTGCTTCCTAAACAAAATGTAAACATGAATATACATAGATGCAAGAATAAACATGATAATTTGAGATTAATATAATAGTTATAAAGACTACTTACTTTACATTCATAGACATTTTCGTCGGACTCACATATTTGGTATATTTCATCAATGTTACGACGTAAATTGTCAAATAAAAATGCCCATGACCGATTTCGTAGTTCTATTAATTACCAAAAACAAATAAGCAAATAAAATATAAAATCATTAAAATGTTTACCACCTGAACGCTTGTCTCTTCCTGCTGAAGCTGATCGTATGCGTAAACCAATCCTTTGGCGATTTGGCCACATTCTCATTCTGTTTCCAATAGTACTGTGCATGCTGACATCCATTATTTAAGTACTTTTTAATCAAATATCATAATAGGTCCAGATCTCTGGAATCAAATGTATGATATTTATACCAAACTGATATAAACACCAAAATCATGTAACGTACCTCTGAAATTTAAAACATACAACATACACACATAAGTGAAGATTTTCAAAAATAAATCAAGGGATTTAAATGTTGGTCACAGTATCGCGTATTGTGTATTGACGTTATTTAAATAAAAATTAAAAACGATTCATAACACTTAGATTAATATTAGACAAGTATGTACCGTTAAAAAACCAAAACGCTAACTGTAGTAGTACTGCAGTAGTGTATAAGTATTCGAATGTTGTATAATAATTACTAATATTAGTTATTACTATCGTTATTCGTTGTTTGTATTTTTTGGTATAATGATTTTTATCGTCCGTTTTCTATAGCCGCGGTTTACACCACCTGATAAGGTTAACGATCAGGCGCGGATAAAGTGGTTTGCGCCGTCGGTACACGTCACATACTACAAACACACACCCACGTCCCACATAAAATATTATACTGACTGAATAATAGTGGGCGCGAATTAAAGTCGTAGTAGTCGTACGGACTTCAGATAGATTATAGATACGAACAGGGATAATAATTAATAAGACTCCAAAACATCTCTGCAAAATTCAAATAGTATCATGATTCATAATTTAATCATAATAGTTTTTGAGTTGAATGAATTACAAATAATAAGGTAATAAATAAGCACTTAAAATTTACAAGTAGGTTTCACAAATATTCATTAAATATATTTTCTTACTGTCAACTGTTTCTTGTCGCGTTTCATATGGCGCTTTTAGTACAACGATTAAGTATCGTAACACCAACCCAACCTATTATAAAAGTTTATTTAAAATTATACCCATTATCATAGGCGAAACTATGGGTCAGGCCATGGCTTGACCTAATACTGGTTGAAAATTTTTATAATGTGTATTATATATTTTAATAATTATTTGGGCACATATTTTTTTATATATATTTTATTTGGCCTGACCTAATAAAAATGTCTAGTTTCACCTATGCCCATTATTATAACCGATATTTCCAAGATTTAGTAAAAGAATTTCTATTTAAATAAAATTGCATTACTATTAATAGATAGTACATTTTTTGTACAAATCACAACTCATAAAATGTTAAGGAAAAAAATATACATTTAGGTATTTTAAATTTTGATTGTTAATTACTAGTCATATTATGTGTATACTAAGTATAGAATTTTGTTTAGAAAAAAATAAATAAATTAAATACTGAATTGCATGGAAAACTAATTCATTTCATGGGTTACTAAAATTATTACCAATAATGATAACCAATAATGATGATTCTTTATGCAACCTCTGTCATCACCTAGCGATAAATAATTAGTTTTAATTTTAATTAAAAAGTATATTAAGATACAATAATACCCATTGTTTAACATTTTAAACTAAATTGATAAAAAACAAAATGACAAAACTAACCATTTAATCACTATCCAAAATATAAAAAAAAAATAAAAAAATAGGAATAATTTCAAGAAACTATGGTTAATCAAAATATAAGGAAATAATACATAGATTTATTAAAATTATTTATTAGATTAGCACTAAAAATGAGATACAGGGTTGAAATATAAATTATATATGGTTAATTAATCTAAATACAAATCAACAGTTTAAGCCACAATTCCTTATTAAAGGAAAAACAACAATATACATACATAAAATACATAAAATACAATAAATTAATACTGAGTTAATAAAATTAATTGGTTATAATTTTAAGTTATAATATTTTTAGTATATAATAATTATACATACAACAGTATTTTTTGATTTCATAAGTAATATTTCTAATTAATATAATATTTTTATCTAATGAAAAAATATTATATTATTATGATTCTAATGTTATTTACAAACAAAAAATGCCAACTTAAAGAAAAACTTTGTAAAAAGTATTTAAATATTTGATTTATTATGAATACTTAAATAACTTCTATAGAGTCAAGTGGTAACCATTTAGAACTTTCAAGTGCATCCCATAAATTGTAATCTTGTGAGACCTGATCTTTGTTTAATGCATCTATGTCAATTGACTTCTTGTAATCTGAACAATTTTAAATTTAAAAATATTTATACAAAAGATGACGTTTATATTTTAAGCCTTAAATATATTAAGTTATATTTTGCTGAAACTTGATTACTTACCAACTAAAATTAAATTTCCATTAGTTTTAACAACTGAAGTTTGAATAGTTGATTCTGGTTTAAGAACACATTTCCGACTTTGAGGTTGATTCCACATAGAATATTGATGCCAATAATTGGTTTCAAAATACTGTTCATATTCATGACTAGCTTTGTATCCTTGAAAATCATTTGAAGCACTAAAGTAATATATCAATTAATGTACTGAATTATAGTTACATCAAAACTTTATTTTATACTAAGCCAATGAGTCAAATGTTAAAATTAAAATTGTAATAACATGATTAATATTAAATATATTTATTTAAATAAATTAACCTACTTCTACCTTATGAAATGAAATACTAAATCAAGTTTATACCATAAAAAAATTAAATAAATAATATTGTAGAGTATAATTATATTGAATATAAATGTATTTAACATAATTAAATATTAAAAGAAAAAAGTTTAGTTAAATAAAATAATAAAAGCATAATTTTTATGTATTTTACTCTAGTAATAATTATTTTTTATTTTAGAAAAATATAATTTAATCACAGTTACTTTAGTAGTAGTACAACAAAACTTTTTAGAAGCAAAGGATATTATATAATTACATGTAATTAAAATTACTAATGATACTTAATATATATTACATAGACTATAGTTAACAGTTGTTTAAATAAAATGTAAAAAAATAAAGTAAATAACTAAAATTACATTAGTTAAAATAAAAGTTATGATAATAACATTTTTAATTATAATTTTAAGAATAATATTACAGTATTTTATATTTCTTTATATGTATATTTTAATATTTTTAGAGAGAAAGAAATGTCTGAACATCCAATAATTGTACACTATAAATCGATTATAATCATTGCCGTCGAAGTTAAAGATAATTTTTTTTTATGTTACAACTTTCTTATAATTAACAGTTACACTAACACTTTTTGTCGAAGTTTTAAACTATCTGTCTATTGGAGATATAGTTATAACTATATATATCTATAATATAGTGATTATTATATGTTAACTATTAAAATTAAATTAATACATACAATATTAACTATTAATTAACTTTCTTCGATCACTTTTGAGTAAATTGAGGGTTTGAAAATAGATAAATTTGTTGTTTGGTTGTTCTACCTGTAAATTTTGTATAATAATTGTTGATCTATATTCAAATGTACGATAAAATTCAATTAATTTTATATTTTCTATAATTTTTAACGATGTTCTGGATTTAAACTATTGATTTTGGAGCTGTTTGATATTTATTTCTTCTAAATTTAAAAACTTCTGTAATAGTTTTCATTAAAATGTATGACTTCTTATAATATATACGTATATGTATTTATACACTATGTTAAAAATATCAATTTTAATTTATTACCATACATTTACAATATAATAAATAATGTAATTACTCTACCAAAAAAAATTCTCATTAACTAATAGATTAGTAAAACACATACAACTTAATAACATAGTGTGCAAATAGCTACTTTAAACATGCCTTTCTAGTACTTATAGTTTCTCGATTACAAATTGATATTATTTTTAATATTAGTATTGAGTACTATTATTGTTGTATAATTTAAAAATATATGGTGAGGTTAATTAAAAGTAACAAAAAAATTCTATATGATCTTACACAACAATATGACGCTCTGATTTTGGTATGACATTGCTAACCTTTATTGGTTTAGATCCAAGGCCAGGAAAACCATTCATATTATTAAGACAATGTTTTTGTTCTTCTTCATTGCTGAAACGAATAAAACCATATCCTTTACTATAACCAGCACTGTCTAAGACCACTGAAAAGTAAACAATATATTAAACCACTATTATAGTAAAAATGGTATATATGAATAATATATTTATAAATACTATTTTTAATGGTAGTGATTATTTAACTTAAATAATCATTAATACCTTTAGCTGTACATATAGATTGATACCGACAAGCGAACGCTTTGTATAACTGATAGTCATCTACTTCTGAGCTAAGTTCACCTAACCATACAGAAAAACCTCTGTCACTTAAAGTAATTTTTCCAGGATTTCCAGCATGATTGAGTTTAAACCTAACAGGCTGTAAAAAATTATCAAAAATTATTTATTTATTATTTATTATAAAATATTTAAATTTTTATTAAAAAAGTTCTTAAGAATTGTAAAAATTCTTTAAAAAGAAGTTATGCTTATTATTTATTATCATCCAATTTAAACAATAATTATTTATCTTTAATATTTTACACGAATACAAAAATGTTAAGTATAATAGCAAAGTATATTCTATTACACAATTAAATAGATATTTATTATTATTTCAAAATACATACTACTTAAAATCAGTGGCGGATTTAGGGGAGAGGGGGTGTTGGATGTTGGGAGCTGAAGCACCCACCATTCCGCGTATTTTTATTAAAAATTACTAATAATTTGCTGAGTGGCAAATTTTTAATATGGGCTACCAAAATGCGGGTCCCGCATCGTGGAGTAGCAAACACCGTTCAGCAACCATGCACAAATTGTACATAATAAGTAATTTAGGACCATTATTATTAACAAAATAGCACCCACCATAAAAAAATTCTAGATCCGCCACTGCTTAAAATAATAATATAAATTAAATGAGTTATCTACGAAAGCTTTTACTATTATTACATTATATATTAATTATAAGCTATGACATATCATGTGTAGCATTGATTAGGTAATATTATTATTTTATTATTGGTTGAAATATTGTGCATACAAACTAGCAGTAGAAACAATTGTAAACATCTCAATATTCTAATAGCTAGCTGTCTTGGTACACTGTTGTCTGTATGGCATTAGTATAATATTTTATTTTATTTTATTACCTATACTTTTATTTAGGCATTTTTTAAGAAGATAATTGACCTAACAACTAACTGACATATTCACAGGGGGCCCATGAGTTAAAAATTGTTAATATTAGTATAATATTTTATTGTTTGTATTATATTTATAACTTTAATAGTAAGTATAAGCTATTTTCTGACTATAGAAAATATACAAGGACAAATCAATAAATGTGTAAGTAAATTAAAACAAATTTTGTCATACATTATTAAATGATTTATACATGTGTGTATTTTTACCAACATAATATTAAAAACAACATAAAACTAAAAATTATCTAATACATTATGGAAATATGACAATTTTACGTTAAAATTACATTTGAATGTGTCAGATCATTGTGATACTCTCATAGGTATATTTTTGGTAAGTACCTTACTCACATATTTTTCTTGTTAACAATTTGAGTGATTTTAACAAAATATAAAAATAAAATATTTAATTTTAAATAAACAACAGATAAAAATATTCAAATTTATTTCATCAAATAAAACTAAAACTCTTGTTTTTGCAAGCTAATCAATAGATTTGGCTCAGTAACCAATACAATTTTAAATTAAAAACCAAAATTACAACTTACTGGATTAGTATCAGGTATATATTTTCCATTGAGTTTATGCATAACAGATACTGGATCATAGAAGTCAACAAATGCATAGCCGGCAGTTTTTCCAGTATTTTTATTGTGCATTAACTTAACATTCTTTGGATATTCTCCCATTTTTTTAAATGCATCTGTGATGAAACTCTCGGTCATATAAGGTTCTAACTAAAATAATAATAGTAATAATAGTAGAAGATTAATGATTATAAATTATTAATAATTTTGTAAATCATACGCTTCCCATCCAAATACTTGAAACATTTTGCCCAGAAGTTGATGCTTGGGACTGTTGGATTGGTACATTTGAGCTCATAAATGTTGCAGCTATTTGTGTTGGTGATGGAGCGTTGTAAGCAGGCTGTTGGTTATAATTGTACATCTGATAATAATTAGATGGATAATGCTGATATTGTTGATTGTATTGTGAATACTGATTAGTGTACATTTTGAATTTTGATGAAATTTTAATTATAAATTTGTACAAACTTAAGAATACTAGGTAAGATGGAATAATAATTAATTAAAACACAACTTAACTATGAAATTATTAGGATAAAACATTAAATGACTAATGATTTAGTTTTCATGATTCATATCATCCAATTATCTGACCGGCAACGGCTATAACTATTTGAATTCTGAAATCTAAACCATCGTCTATCGTCTATCATTATTTATTATCATTAATCATTATGCACTATGCAGGTCTCAGACATTATGAATTATGATACCTACGTTGAAAATTTAAAATCGTAGATAACATGAAATACTGAAATATACATATATTGTTAATTACATAGTACATACTAAAGAGCTATATAAACATATATATTATAGAGCCTTAGTACATACGGCACATGCGTGTACCATTCAATAGGGTGACTTCAAATCATAATGTAATAATAATAATAAGTAATTACGCTTCAGACAAAATTATAAGATTTGATAAAACTATAGAATATGAGATCGATTAGATTGAATTAAAAATTAAAATCATCTTTAATCAATATAGGAACATTAGGAACATGGTTCTTGTTCCTAAAATGTAGTTGTGACTTGTGACGAGACTTGAGTGTACTGAGAGTTGAGACACTGAGTGTAGTAAACGTCTCGTTATGGCGTGACAATCGTGACAATGATAACATGGAGGCCCCATGATATTATTTTTTATTTTTTTCGTCAACGATGTTTTTGACGGTTTTTGTCATCACATATTAAACCATAAGTAATTTAAAAACTAATTATTATACAATACTACATAGAAATGATTTTTTTTTTTTTGTTTTTGCTGTAAACTTATTCTTATTTCTTAATAAATATTCATAGTTCCTAATAGACCTACTTTATATGTTATTATAATTATCATAAGTTTTCAAACGGAAGTTGACAAGTAGAGAGACATCTTCAGACAGTCAAATCATAAAAGGTAAATATTATAAAAAGATAGGTGATAATTCTTAACAACAAATACATAAATTAATTATTTTCGAAAGCTCTTGATGAAGTAAAAATAAAACGTAGATTACCCTATAGGCACTAAACATAAATTTCTTAAAGAGAAAAAAATTAAAAATACTTCAAGTACCTAGTTTTTCAACATTTGTGTTCCCATTTTCCAATAGCTACTGCTGATAAGAGCCAGATTAAAATGTACAAGTAGTTAAAATACTTTTGACTAGACAAAGACGAGATAGTTATATTTTTAATATCGATACTTATGAAATTGAATGATATACTTAGGTACTTATAGTGGCTCAATGCTGTATTTTTTTATCTACTTATTTTATTTTTCATTGTTTTATGTAATATGTTAATACTTAATAAGTCAATTAACGTTAGAAAGTCAAAGTAAACTTATCCTCTTCATGCATGATTTCTTTTATTAACAAAAAAAAAATGTACCTATATGTAAATTTTGACGTAGAATTCGAAAAAAATACTTAAAAAAATATCAAAACATTATTTAAAAAGATATTTAAAAAACAAAATCCGGCAACATTTGGTGCCATCCCGTTTTGAAGTACTCAACTACATTACCACAAACAAATAAATAAATAGTGTATAAAATATGTTTAAATTTTATTATTATAAAACAAAAGAAGTATTAATTGATTAATTATTTTATGATAACATACATATACATCAAATATAAAAAAAAATTAAATTCCAAATTTTAAAATTGTTAGTTAATTATTTTATAGCTTGAAATAAAAAATTAATTTACATACAAAAAAAAAAGTTTTACTTGTATCGTTTTAAAAATTTTACAATTTAAAATTTACCTACTTGTTAGGTTAGGTAATGAAATATGAGGGACACTTATAATAATAGGATTTTGATCTACGTGAATGTTATTGGTAGATGTGGGAAGTACGTCTGTATTTTCCACACATTCTACAGGCCAATCCATAATATCATCGAAACAATTATTATCAGTATTATAATTTGGTACATCAAACTCACTGAAAAAATGTTCTTCGTCCTCTTCTTGGTCAGAAAATTCAGACCCAGAAGGTATAGACATTTCGTCTTCATCCATTTCAAAATCCAACAAATCCGCAATAGTATGTTCATTTAATTTAGACATTTTCACAAATTATTGAAAAAAAATATATATTTATGAGACCAAATAAACAATACTTTACTCGTACAACAACACAACGTACTGATAATAATGGAAACAATTTAAAATCCATAGATGAAATAAAAACAAAAATAAGACGCATGTAAAGACATGCAATAGTTTGTACGTAAATAGACAAAACGTCATAAAATTGATTGAAAAAATACATCCACCAAATCGGGCTGGCACCAAATGTTTCCATCAACAAATCTCGCTATAAAAATTCTTCCATTTACCAAAACCGGTTTTAATTAATATTATCTTAAACAAAAGTTATAAATCTATTCAGAAATATTTTTTTCGAAAAGTTTATTTGATTTTTATGTATGAAAAAAATTGTCTAAAGTGGATGACTTGTAGTAATTTTGGAAAGCTGTAGTCTTTCTGTTTTTAGTCATTTTCTACCAATTTTAAATATGACTAGCGCTACCTATACTAGTAAAATATAAACATTACTATGTTATCATAATGTAGAATGATATATGAAGACTGTTATAATTTAAGCTGATTTTTAATAAAAATAAATATATATGGCACCATTTGATGCCTCTATGCGGGAAGAGGTTATATTATTATGAGTTAAATTTGGTTTTTTTTTTTTAATTTAATCATCAAGTATTGAATAATTATGATACTATTAAACACAAAAAATTAAAAAGACTAGAAAGCTAGAAAGCCTGTAGTTTTGTTTTTGAAAAATGAATATTTTCGAATTAATACAAAATTTAATACGATTTTATGAAAAAATAACTTTGTGTCCAAAGTAAGCCGTTTTATGGATTGATTTCAGATAACTTTTAAATTTTTAAAAAACCTTATTAACGAAGTTAAATTATTTTTTAAATGATAATTTATAGTGGTTAAACACGTGTAGATGCTTTATTATTGTTTTTGAAATAATTACTTTGATATACATTCATAATTGTTTAAAAAAAAAAAAACATTGAAAACAATGAAATAGATTTCATTTTGTATTTTTGCACACAAATGTAAGATAGCTCAGTAGAAGTAGATTTCTTCAAAGATTTCGTAATTTGTTAGATGATTTTATTCCATTTTTGGAGAAAAGAGGTATTAGTTTTTCTCAAATGCGTGGTGTTGTGAATTTGTAATGTATGACTTTGTGATTTAGCGTTTTAGGCAGATTTCACGGATCAGTTTATATGAATGCGATAAAAGCCGCCAATAAGAATTATTAATAGGTTCGGAATATCATCATTCATCAGATTTCGAATAATACCTATTTAGCTGCTACCCAAGTGTATAATTTCGTTTTTCATAGGTAATTATTTATTGCATTTAACAATAGTTGCTATTACCTAATCTAATTTATATTTGTGAATAATAACAAAGATACACAAATTTATAACAAAAATAAATGTTTTGAGTGTTTTGACTTTTGTTTGTTTTCTGAAAAAAATTAAAAAAAAAAAAAAAAAATGAAAAAGAATCGCGATAAACTTGAACACTCACGTTGCAACCAATCAGTCAATTGTGATCTACCACTGATGATTACCACTGATGTAGGTATCTAAAATATCATCTATAATATAGATTATTTTATGTGTCAAGTATGAATTAGTCCAAAATTTAAAAAGTTTAATATCGTTAATTTTTTTTAATTGATAGATATGTCTATGAAAATACTATTACAAAAACCAACATCATTACTTAAATCAATTTTAAACAACGATGATCTTTTTCTTTTTTTTTTTATTTATTTTAAAAGACATTCACAACCTGTATACACATAATAATACAGAAAGTATATAGGATGACATACCTATGTACTAGACGTGACAAGCATGAGGGAGGGAGGTATCTATCGAAACTACTTATAATTCATGAACTAAGGAGATGGTAAGTTTTTATGAATACTAAAATGTTGATTATATTATAATCTATACTCTATAGATACACTAACATGTTATTTTAAGCTAAATTTGATTTATTACATTGCAGTTTAATTACATTTAATGTAATAAATAAGTACAAATGGTATAATATATAAGACACATAATTTATTGTATCTAACCATTAATATTTATTTTAATAATTCCAAAAATCTTTTTTTTTTAGCTAAGATTTATTTACACATAAAACACTTGTTAATATTTAAATATTACTTTAATATATTTATCACATTTTGTAGTTAAGAATTAAATTATTATTCAGTAATTGGATTTAATTTTAACCAAACTTTTTCGTTCTTCGGAACCACTAACAAAGATAATTTACTAAACTGTATAGGAATCTCGGTCTTTTCACATGGTTCCACTTCAAATTTTGATAAAATTTTTACTAAAGCTAATTTCATTTCCATCTCAGCAAAACGTTTTCCTATATATAAAAATAATTCATATTAATAAAAAATAAAATAAATTTAATTTTTGATTAGTAACTCGACAATAAATAGTAAATTTCTTTATACAAACTAATATAATAATACTTACCGATACAAATCCTGGGCCCATCACCAAATGGAATATAAACACCGTTAGGTCGTTTTGCCTTTTCTTCGGCAGAAAATCTTTCAGGATTGAATACTTCAGGATCAGTATAATATTTAGGATCAAAATGCAATGAAAAGATTGGAATTATAACTTTCTGTCCCTTTTTAATTGTTAATGAATCGTTTGGCAGATGATAGGTTTTTGTAGCTACTCTGAACAGAGCAAAAATTACAGGATATTTTCTAAGTGTTTCTGAAAACATTAAGTAATTTTCAGTATTTTTATAGTAATTTAATATCGATGACCAATGGTCACTTAATATTTTAACTTCAAAAATAATTGAATGATACCAATGACAAAACAAAAAAACTATTAGCCAACATTAAATAGAAATAATTTTATTTTCAAAATAACAATTACTACTGTCACTTAAACTAAATTGGCCAATCATGTATCTGATTAGTACTTTAAAATTAAAAAGTAAAAGTATTTTTAAATTCATAAGTTGTGATGAATTGATAATTTTTTGCACAAAGTCGAATTTATTTTTCAACTAGTTTTATACTATTAGTTTTGATAATTAGTGAAAAGTAGGAAAATGGATAGGTAAAATTCTGCTGTATAGTAATTTTATTTTTAAAATGCACCAAACAAACAAAATTAATATTATCAAAAATAAGAATTTCATAAAAATTTCCATTTATTCTTAATTTTTTTCTTTGTTTTTCCCATTATCAAAAAAAGTATTTAGAATTTTTCACTTTTGACCCTCTAAAGTATCAACTAAATAAAAATTTCTATCAAATATCACAACTAATTTTTAAAACAAAAGCAGTTTTACTGTCTTAAAAGGTGACAACAAACAGAAAAAAATAAAATATACACCAGTGTAAAATTGATACATTTATTGCTCCGCTCAGAATCAAAATCTAAAATGATTTGTGTGTTTGCCTTAAATATAACTTATATTTTAAAGTCTTAACAATGTTGGGCAAATAATTATGACATGGGTGTTTTCTAATAATTAAAGCATGAACGCAGAAAAGCATAGTTTGTTAATAACCATTTTATTTTATTTGTAATATTGATATGATTGTCAACTAATATACCTAGTAAAATAAAATAATGGATTAATTAAATATTTCATTCTTACTATTATTTAATACTAAGAATGTGATTAATTACAAAATTAATTTAACTATTATGATTTACAAAAAATTAAAATATCGAAAAACATCTAATATTACGCCACACCCCTAAGTGGTAAAACATTGACAAATACTGTTAGTTGTTTCAATGAAAATGTATGAAAAAATGTTTTATAGGTATTCTATATAACTTTTTCCGAAGTGATGATCAAACATTTTTTATTTTTGGTAAATTATAATAATTTAATTAATTATACATTTAATTATCCGCATATTATAATATTAAACCATTATTTTATTTTATTTTATTATACTAGTTCAAGTTGACAGTAATATATATTATCATCAATATTAGTAATATTATTAAACATTTATTGGGTAAATACCTGCTATAACCATATCTAGATAATTGAGTTTAATCAAAAATTCATTATCAATTACTCCATTGAATTTAATTTTTGTTAATTTTATCTCTTCTCGTACTCGGTCTTGAATATTTTTTTTCAGTGCAAGTTCATGTAAACAATAAGAAAGAGTCGTTGATGTAGTTTCAAATCCAGCAGCAAAAAATCCAAATGCATTTGATAATATTTGAGATCCCGTTAATCTTACTAAAAAAATAAATAAATATCACGATACAGCAGTTAAATTATAGACATTGTTATTTTAAATGAATTCGCTTACCATCTTTAGATATATTTTCATTAACAACTAAGTCTTGATGCGCTTGAATTAAGGCATGAACTATATCATTCCTTACTATACTATTTTTTTCTCTGTATGCAATCGTTTCTTTAAATATTGATCCGAAATGCACAGTTGTCTTATGTGGAAATATAGGAATCTTTAAAATTTTCAGAATAGCCGGTGATATCATTACACATATTTCTCTCACAAAATATGACAGAGATGGTTTGAATATTATTTTTCCATATCTACGAAATAAAGAAGTATCATCCTTTGCTACATTTAGGTTTAGTCCAAAAGAACAATTGCCAATAACATCAATTGAATACTGTGCCAAAATGTCTCGTATATCAATTTCTTTGGAATTTTTCTTTAACTCAGAACGTATATTAACTATCATCGCATTGCCACACTCTTCGATTTGACTATACATCTGTTTAAGTTTTCCAGATGTGAACGCGGGACTCAATTTACTTCTGAGTTTTTTCCATCGAGGGTTTTCCATAAAAAACAGTGTTTCTGACAATGGTTCATTTGAATAATCCAAGTAAATACCACGGTCGGTAAAATACGAAAAATCCTTTATCATTATATTGTTGATAATATCAGGATCGCGGATCAATAAGTATGGAGTGCGCATTTGAAACATACCTCCATATTTGTGTCCAGCTAGTTCATGATAAATTTTCTTGTACAGATCTATTGGATGCTCTATGCCCAGAGCTACATGCAAGTAGTTTCCAAACAAAGGAATTGGACGTATATAATGTATGTTAAGTTTTTTCCATACATTATTTGTTGAAGTACAATAATAATAAACAATCGAAAACAATACTGTAACAATTATGATCAAGTCAACCCAAAAGTTAGCAAAGTTAAATATCGTTGACATTTTTCTATTTTGATTGGTATATGAAGGGAAATAATAACAAATGATTATTATTCAATCTTGTATACATCTTATATAACCTTATAACAAATACTTAAAACTCATATTTTAAGGTCATCAATCATCATTATCTATACAGTATTCTAAAGTGAATAATTACATATTTACTAAGTATTGTACACAAGTACCATAGTAGTTTTTATTTTTTTAAGTTCTTTATTAAAATTACCGTGTATGATAAGTACTGATTGCAAACTGCACTTGACAATAGGAATTAACTTAAATTATACATCATTTTAATTTCTACCACTTACTTGTACTTAACTTAGGTTTATATATTTACGTATATAATTAAACCATTGTTTTTAAGTAAAATAAGATATCGTCTTCGTAAAATACTAAATTTTAAAGTGATAATATAAAATATTAATGTAATAAAAAAATAAAATAAAATTATAATACCTACTTATAGAGTACATTATAAAGACCATTTAATTTTAATGATCTAGGCTGTTGAATAAATATCATAATAAATTTACAATAATTAATAATATCAATTTTTATTTCATGCACAAATAAGAATGAATTAATAATGTATGTAATAAGTTGACATTTTATTATTAATTTATTACTTATATATTGGTACATTGATTATAACCATAACTATACAGTTAGTATAAATTAAATGATCATAATATAATTTTAAAGTTACATTACCTATAGACTATATAAAAAAAAAATAACAAATTAGTATTACCTATTATAGTTTAAAAATAAAATTAGTGTATTTTTATTTGCACGAAATATTAAGTGTGCTATAACCCTTTGCCGACCAACGGGACTTTTGAGTCCGCTGTGTATTTTATCCATTTAAACATAGGTAAAATAAATTAAGTACTATCTGACCATAGTGACTTATAAGTTATAAGTTATAAGTCACTCCATTTTTAATCAATAATGTTCCCGAAAATTTTCTGTGAAATAAATAGATGGCGTTAAATATATCACATAATAAAATAAATATAGTTTAGCCCATAAAATAAATATCGATATTTATATAAATAGCCACAGCGCGAACCAGTATAGATAAGCAATGGGTTTTATTATTATTATTTTCGTTATAATCCCGAGAAACAGAATGTACCATTGAATATCATTATTATTGTAATATTGTGTATAAATATGCGTTTATTGACAATAATCACAACAGACTTTGAAGTCCCTATGGTCTATTGCGACATTTTTATATGTAGTTTTGAGTGTTTTGACGAATATTCTCATTTCTCAGTCAAGCACTCGCGCGCCAAGTATATTGTTTATACGTATGCAATTTTTTTCGCTCTTGAGTGTTGTTTGTTCATTTATTAATTATTATTTACTCGTTAATTTTTTAAATTTATTTAATTAGTGAAATGAATATTGTTTAAATGAAAAGAAACCACGTTTTGATGAATATCATTCAAAATAATGTGTTCATTTTTAGTATTATAATTATTATTTTTTTTTTTTTTTGTACATGACTATTATGTTTATTGTGTTATATTTATGCTTATAACTATGTTTTTACTACTATTATGTTTATTACGTTATAACTATGTTTTTAATAAAAGTCTCATTATATGATAAATTATGAATTAAACATTTATAAAATTGAACATAGTAACCATTCAATATTCTTAATATTAGTCTGCAATATAAAAAAATTGACCATTTAGTTTTTGATACTATATAACTATTTTCTTTAAGTTTATATTGTTGTTAATTTGAAACATGAATTATATACATATTTAAAATGGACATTATATTTTGAATTAATTAATTGATTACATTTTAACTATTACTTATTTATCATAGGGAATAAGAAAATAGTAGTGTCGTAACGGCCCATAGGGACTTTTAAGTATAGTCCTTAAATGAACAATGGGACTTATTTGTCCTACTCCTTAAAAATATATTAAAAAACCTCCAATTTCAAATTTTTCAATTTCTAAATTCATCAAAAAAATAATAATTTATAAAGGTGCAAAAAAAAAATCAAATTTCTATCACCATTTATTGTTGGTCTAAAAAGGGTTAAAGGTAATTAAAAATAATTAATTGGTACTACCTTATATTTTAAACAAGAAAAACTCTAATTATGAAAAATATTTGATAGATAATCAAAAATGTAAGTTCCAAAATTGCATAATTAAATTATACCCTGTTCACCAAAAGAGAATCTGCGCAACGAATGAAAACTCGTCGTTTTTCTTCACAACATTTGACAACTACAGCCCGCCTACTTATCATTTGTTGCTTTAAAATGATGGAAAGTTATTTAGTGTCGCGTTTCATTGTATAAGGATTGCGAATTGCGATCCGTGATATATTGTGTTTGACAACATTCCGTATCACATGGTAGTTTACTAGCTTATATTTTGAACTCACTCTATTTGTAAAATAGTTTTGGTCAGTGGACAAGATTTTTGATGGAGCGTCCGTATTTCGGTTAGTCAGGATACACGAACGCCACGAACTGGTTTGGTCTCTCGGCGAACAGAGTATAACTTGTAGGCAGGATAATAGGTACTAGGTAGCTTTTATTCATAAAGTAAAATACCTACACAACGCACTCTATAAATTTATATACATTGACGTAGTTTATTTTATACTTGTAATTCGAAAAAAATCAATAAAATTCGACCTAAAAAGTATGCTTCGTACTTCACATATTCCTCAGCTCTCGTTAATCATAAAAACATGATTTTTTCACCAAAATAAACTTGATAAATTCTTCTATATATAATTGCGTTCCAGATTTTCGAATTTTTTTTCAAAGTAATTATATTTAGCAATTGTATTTAAAATTAAAAAAAATGTTAAAAATCATACAAAATAGAAAAACAAATATAACAAAAATCTGGAACATGGTTGTTTAGAAAAACTTCTTATGTTTATTTTGATGAAAAAATTATATTTCTACGACTTACAAAAGCTGAGAAAAATGGGAAGTACAACAGCATGTTTTTAGTAAGAAAAATTAGAAATTTACAATCATTATGTACTGCTCTGCTAAGTATGGAGGCCGCACTTTATAAATGATGATTAAAGATTAAAGTCAATACGAAAACAATAATGTTGGTGATATAATAATATTTGTTTTATTTTTTTTCATAAAATCTATAATGCATTTTATATTATACCATATTTTATACAAATTTTAAAATCTCATATCATATAATTTTTATAATTTAAATAATTATTTTTTTAAGCTTGAAGAAAATTTAATGATCAAATTAATTTTATCAAAATTTAAAAACTACAACATCGAAAAATAATATGAAATTTAATTCGATATAACAAAAAATACCTTTGGTACATACGAATAAATAATACTCTGTTGAATAGAGTGATCAATTGGCAACTACGCATAATCAGTATATAACATAATTTGATAACTTATAATAATTTAAATAATTAGAGACTTAAATCCACAATTATATACATTTTTTTTTATAAATCAATCAAATATTATATTTATTTTTAATTAGTTAAGTACTTAAGTACATCTATCAAAGATTATTTATTTATTATGTTTAAATAGATAAAAGCCAATTAAAAATATGATAAAACTTAAACATTCAATAATTTTTTAAATAATTATATTTACGATCTATATAATTACAATAAATATACGTTTGATAAGAGAATGAAAAACAAGTAATAAATCGTTAATTGTATAAAATATATAGATAATATGATAAAAATAGTAATTGTTGTAAAATAATATACATAATATGGATATAATAACTATAATATTAAATTCTTAGCATATCGTATAAATTACAAACAGTCTATTGTTGTACACAAATACATTTAGAAACAGTTTTATTTTTGTTTTTATATTTTCCAAAATATGTTGAGGATCTCCGATCTACCAACAGTCTTTTTCCGTACTAGAGATTAACAATTTCTGGAAGTATTATGTATTCTGTAAAAAAAAATTGAAAATAAAATTTGTTTTGTTTATATAATTACATCAAAATCTAACTAGATAAAACTATAAAATATTAATTTAGATAATTGTAATATATTTACCATTTAATACGGCGATGATTATAAATAGAACTATGTTGTAAAAAAACTTTTATACTTTAAGCATTTCCATACATATTTAGGCAAATAGGAGCTTCAATTAATTATCTGTGAAAATGGGCGTATTTTATTCAAAGTACGTAAATCACGTAAATTACATAAATAGAAAATAGTCAACAGCATTGGCCCGAAGCGTTTTAATTTCTTAACGGTGGTCTATGAAATAATAACGAACCTCTCCAGAAAGTGGAGAAAGTTGGCGTAGTTACGGCAGCGTGGTAGAATTCAACGCCATATTCTCTTGCGCAGTTGAGCACAATATACATTTTACTTAAAGTTTTTACCAGAAAGGCCTTCTATGATGAATTGACGAGTCATTCAAGTTAGTTCATACTTCATTTAATGATTTCGTACATGACTCTTCTTTTAAATGTTTAGGCCGATAATAAAATGCTTGTATTAAGTCTCAATATGCATTCGGCAGTTACCTAAACATAGTTTATTAATTATTTATTAATTAACACTTAAATTTTATTTGACTTATCGTCCTTAACGGTGTATTTGAATCTATATTTGAGACCATATTAATATATTGGGATAAATATGCGATTTGTCACTGGCGTATCTGCAATAAAAGTTTCTCACCGGACGACTTGTCACTAACATGAACAATGAACAACACATGAATATTGAGTTGTAGCTCAATCCAATCCATTGTATTCAAGGTTTATAGATAATATTATTTATTATCTATTAACCATACCATATTTGTTTATGGTCTAATAAACATCTAAATATTCAATTTAATCGAATTTTTATATAATCAATTGTCTAATTTTTAATTTCTATATATATATATATATTTTTCCTCTCGTTCTTATAGCATTTGTTTTAATTGTTAGTATAACACACATCTATGCAACTGTCATTATTTTTTATTATTGTAAATTGGAATTTTATTCCGTTAATAAAATATTATTATTATTATTATTATTATAAACGTACATATTACATAACCATGATTAATATACAGTACAACCTCTCTATAACGGACCCTCTATTAGATAGAATTCTCTTTATAACGGAAAATATCATTAGTCCTGGTTTAAATAATATATAAATTTGATCCTTCCTATAACGGAAAAATTGTTGGTCCCAAGCGATTCCGTTATAGAAAGGTTTTACTGTATGTAATATTATCGGGACAGGTACAGTTTTCCCGATTTTCTTAGGTCGAATAACAAAAAGTGATAATGATAAGGAATATCGACGCTCCCCTTTATAGTACTTTTGGCAGTACTGTATCATAAAGGCAGTTAGCAACACACTATATTGCACTCTATGCAACACATTTGGCTAAGAATGCTACAATTATGTGAAATTTGGAATTTGGAATATTTGGATCTTTCTGTGATAAGTGATAATGTAAAATATTTGTTAAGAATTCAAGATTCCAGTTGTATTTGTATAGTGAAATAAATTACAATTTTCAAAAACCTCAATCAATTTATATTTTATTTTAATTTATTAAACGAATAAAATATTACTAAATATATTTTGTAATTTTAAACTTTTACATTTTAACAGTATTATAATTTAAGGTAATATGCAGCATTGCACTATAAAATACCTGATAAATAGCTCTCTATATGCAATACTTATAAAGTATAGATTATAACTTTTATAATTTTTGTTTTATTATTATTATTCAGATGAGTGGTGGATCTTTAGATATGTCAAAGGCAGCAAATGCATTATGGCTGGTTAAAGTACCTAAATACGTTGCAGATAAATGGGACAATGCTCCTGGTAGCTTAGACGTGGGTAAAATTAAGGTGACAAATACACCTGGAAAAAGACCAGACATTTCGCTTCACCTGTCCGAAGCTGTCTTATGTTTGGAGGGCGAAAAGAACAACGAGCCAATTCCCAAATCATTCAAATTAGATGTGTCACATTTTACTAGCCAAACAATGGTAGCATTATCTGAACAAAGAATGCCATATAATCCAGATGCAGTTGTGCAAGAAACAGATAGATTAGCTATATTAGGAAAAATAAGTCAAAAACTAGAATGTCGACCTACTGGAGATCAGGTAATTAATAAATTATTATTTATTACAAATGCTGATGATTATGATACATTATTATTCTTGATGGTCGTATTCAGGTTTATATGGATTTAAAAAAACAAGCTATACGAAAAGCACATATTCCGACCAGACAAGTTCAAAAGTTAGACAAAGTAGTCCAAAATTTCAAGCCTATATCAGATCATAAACATAATATTGAATATAATGAAAAGAAGAAGTCTGAAGGCAAAAAGGCACGTGATGATAAAGATGCTGTCATGGCTATGTTGTTTAAGGCATTTGAGAAACATCAATATTACAACATCAAAGATTTAGTTACATTGACTAAACAGCCAGTAGTATATTTAAAAGAAATCCTAAAAGAGGTTTGTAATTATAATCTTAAACATCCCCATAAGAATATGTGGGAATTAAAACCTGAATATAGACATTACAAAGAACAAGAAGACACGGAGGCAAATTAGTACTAATTGTAATTTATATTAAGCATAACTATGAATATTTTACCTACATATTTTGAATCTTTTGTGAGATATGAATTATGATTCAAAATTATTTTGTTATTTATTAAGTACAATTCTAAAAGACAAAATAAATAAGTGTTTATAACTTTATTATATCAATGTTAATTTATCAAGTTTGTGAAATAGTATCATTACCGATTGAAATATTGACGATCTGGGACTTTCCAAGTGGGTTGATCTATGGATGGAATACTTCACTAATGTTTTGTTTATATATAACTATAATATTTAAATCTACCTACTTTTAAATTGAACAAATTTATCAAAGATAATAAAAAATTAACTATTGCATTATAGCAATGTATAATTATTCTGTGATAGATCAAGTCGTTAAGAGGATAGATAGATTTATAAACAAATAACCAAAAAAACTTAGATGTAGTATGTCTATCTCATATTGAATGTTTTAAAAATTGATTTCTTAAATTCTTTAAATGTGCTTAAAGAAATTTACCAAGATATTTCCATGAATTATTTACAACTAAAATTCTAAAATTTTGCTTTGACTTGGAACAAAACAAAAAAGTTTTATTTAATTCATATAGACAATTACTGAATTATAATTTTTATAATAATAAAAAACAGCAACATATTGTCAACATTGATGGTACAAACATTTACATAAATTTTTGCCAGAAAATAAAGTTTGTAAAACTAGTGTTTACCGATTTGTTGTTTTGATCGATTATCAACATAGTTAATACATATAAATTTTGTATTTACTTATGCTTCCTTTAACTTGGGTATTTAAATTGTTCGAATTAGTAATATCGCAATTGTTTAAATACTTATTTTTAAACTAGTTGGCCTGAGAACACTTATTTAAATGTTTAAGTTGATAAAAAATACTTGCCGATTATAATATTATATTTTGATGAAATTTTTCAATAATTAAAAAGAAACAGCTCTATACAGAGCTCAGCAAGTGTTACATATTTCATTCCTATATTTGATTATTAAAAGTTTAAAGTTTTCATGACATAACTTTCTACTACGTTTGTAACTTTATTGTTAAATGCTTTATAAAGGGTCCAAGTGATCTTTGTTCTCCCAAATGATATGTATAATACAAAAATATGATTGATCTCATCAAATATCAGGCATACTCTTAAATGAAAATACAATTTAAATAAATACATTAATTATTATTTATTATTAAAAAAAAATCATTCAATGGCTTTTTCACACATTTCTAGTATTCCTTCTTTAGTTTTATTTCCACCAAGGAATCCAGTGGCATGACAAAAAATACAATCTTTTATCCCAGAAATATCACTCAATTCATCATCTCTAATACCCCACCAGTTTTTTGGTAATGGCTTTCGAGATGTAAATGAATGAGGATTAATTGGTATAGATTGTATTCTCCACGCTGAATTTGAATTGTCATAATAAATAACAAAATCAATTTTTGGTGAAAGGTCTTCACCAAGTTCTTCTTCTAATACAAAATAATGTTCTTTCCAAGGGCATGACTGATTGAACTCTATGACACGGCCAGATTTGTGCGTTTCATATCGTTTCTCGAGTGCATCAATTACCAATGATCTAGCAGGTAACCATGTTTGAAATGCATACAATACTGTTTCTTCAAATTCACATTTAATCAATTGCATTGCTTGCTTGAATGCTTTCATATCATCATATTCTCCAACATGGTTCCATTTTTTGTTAAAATTACCGACACGACTACTCAAATGTGTGTGTATATTATACCGTGGTGTACCTTCACATATTGGAACACCATTATCAATAGCATCTACTTCTTGTACAAACGTTTCATAAACTTTAGAATAAATAGTATTCAATGTATTATCTGGTACATCAGATGCAATAACTTTTTTCAAAACATCATGACCGTAATGTAAGTATACCAAGCCTGCACTACTCAATTTTGTTGTCCATTTGGCATTGGGAGTTAGTGTACTCATTGAATGATTAAAACTTCTTTGATGATGATCATAACGACGTTTACTGTGATCGTATACGCCTCCAACGTCGATCACAATATCACACTCGGCTAACAATTCTTCATCTCTCGTACGAACTATTTCCAAGTCAGGAAATAATAGTTGAAGCATGTATGAACCAAAAGCTTCATCGCAGTGGAATACGCCATTGTGTGTTCCCAATTTTTTTGGTGAAAATTTAGTGGTTAAGTTCATTTTTAAGGTAATTAATTACAAATGACAATACGGTATTAAGTACTAACGGAAAAACTAGTTAGTATAATATTAGCATAGAAACAGTAGAGTTTAGAGTATGATAATAATCACTTAATATTTATAGAATAATTACCGTGACAAATAAAACACTAAACAGGTAAGTAGTACGTATTATCACTTGGCCGTGCCGCAAGAAGTAACTAGTTTTTTTTATATATAGTAACAAGTAAGCACCACGGCAGGGTATGTTTGAAATTTTTATGGACGATGGTAAGCACGACTTATGATACATTTTAAATCATGATAGTAAGTTACTGCTGCAGTGCAGTCAGAGCTGCATTAAATATAGAATAGCAGAGTGAACGATGTTGGCGCGTTACCATCCTGTCATATAATCAATTTTCATAATTTTATGTTGGCAATCCATTTTGTGCTTATCATATTATCCTTATCATTTTTCGGACAACTGCATAAACCGTGATATCTACTATAGATTACAGAATTACAAATAAAGATAATAAATAATAGTTATAAAACCTGTGCAATATGCAGTATAATATGCACAAAATCGATGAAATAGTTGGCTAAAATTTAGAATATTTAGATGTTTTCACATTTCCTACTTTTAATTTTTAAATCTCTGTGATTATATTTGCATTTAATATTTAAGCTGTTCGAGAAACATCTCGAAATTCAAGATTTACAAAATACTATCAATTTTAAAATTTAAACAACTAAAACCAATACTTATTGTGTTTATTTTATTAAAAATAACATTGTACTGTGCATTAATTATTGATTAGTGGTGATTCGTACTTTTTTACATAATATCAAAATGTATGTCGAAATGATTTCAGATCTACTTGATTTGTTCAATAAACTATTAAATTTTGTAAGTATTATTAACCAAAATTATTTTTGAAACATATCAAATTTATATGTAGTTGAAATATCTAACATTTTATATTGGACCAATATCCAACTACAATTCCAATGTTGAATTAATAAAACATTATTTTAGTAATGCATTCTCTTGAACTTATTCTTTTATTTCTTTGATGATTAATACATTTAATAATCTTTAATTGAATTGATTAAAGTAAATAAGTATCTAGTCTATAAAGAAATTTGGTTAGTGAATACTTAATATAAATTCAAAATTGTTAAATTAACTAGACAAAATTCTGAATAAGTACTACGATAAAGTCATTTAAAAAGTCTAAGTTTTCTGTATAAAATTCAAGATTATATTTTTAAATTTAAATTTAATACTTAATAATATAAATTAAAATTTTAAAGTACCTACACATTTTGCAATGTATATCAAATTTTGTCCATTGGTACATTATAGTCATATTTCTATATATTTTTCATATTTTATCTATGTTTTGTATTTGTAATTTGGTATATTTATAAATTTATAAGTAAAACATCAATGTGATTATTCTGTATGTCTTTTTAGAGTAAAAATATTTATATATAAATTATATTACTTTTGAATTTCAATGCTTGTTTTATTATTATAAGTTAATAAAATTATTTTCTTGTTTTTATAAATATATATTCTGCAATTTTAATAATGGATTTTATTATTATTTGATACCTGAGTCTTAGTTATTATATAATTTATATTATAGAACATGACTGAAATTTTTAATGTATTATTTAAACTTCATATTATAGATGACTGAAGTTGGAGTTTTAGAATCTTTTACATTTGTACATTCTGCCATAAATCTGAACTTGCAGCATGAACAATTTCTTAAAAGAATTCAATCATCAATTGATGAATTGAAGGTATAATTTTAAACGTATGATTTTTAAAATAAAATATTGATATTAAAATGTTATTTGCTTGTTTTTTAGAAATGGTTACAAAATGTTTGTACAGAATGGAAAGCAGAAGATTTAGCGTCTCTTGGCAATGTAATAGAGCCACCAATGACACCTAATAATATAGATCTTAACATGAATGGCACTGATTATATTACTCCACTTATCAAAGAAAAAATAGATTCTGTGCTAGGTTTTCGAAACCCAGTTAGTCCGATTTTATGGAGTGTTGGATTAAGACCTATACAAGATAGTAATTCTAAAGATGGATTTGAAATAGATGATGATCAAAGACTGCCCACAGATTTTGTTGCTCCATCTTTTGGAGATTATGGAAGCCCTTCATCAGAACCTTGGAATGTTTTTCAAGAATCTAATTATGATCTGGACCAAACAAACATGGTGACATATTAAATATTATTTTTTAAATAATCAATGTTTATATGAAATTGACTATTATATACGTTTTTAAGGATGAAAAAGGTCCTCAAACACCAAATATTAAATTATATAGAAAGGAAGAAGAACCAGATGTTATACAAGACATAAGTTCAAATTCAACATGTTTTCCTAATGATATTAACCAAAGTATAGTATATAACATGACATATAATATATTCTTATTTTATTAACAGTTTTTATTATTAATTACCTAGTATGAACGTTTGAAATGATTTCTAGTTGAAAATTTATTTCCTTGCCAAAAATGTAAAAACCAATTCGGGTCCTTTGAAGAGATGGAAGAACATTTAAAAACCCATCAGCTTAAATCAAAATTCACAAACCAACATTTAACTTGTGGTAATTATATATTTTAGTCTTTAATTAGTTGATTATCTTTATATTATATATGTATGTACAAAAATAAATTATTTCTATTAGTTTTTTACTTAACATTTCTTTTCTAAAATTAATTTTAATATATTATCTGTAGTGTTACTAATGATTTTAAAGGTATAATATAAAGTACTTGGCAAATTAATTTATGTGATCTGTGATTAATATTTTATCTGTTGTTTACATGATGATTTGTTCTATATTTGTAATAATATATATAATTTATACTGAATTAGTGACTAAAAAAAAACAACTAGTTTTTGTAAATTGAATCTAAACTTAATTTTATTGTTTTAGCTTATTGTAATAAGACATTCTATCAAAAAAGCAATTTACGTCTGCATATGTTGATCCACGAAAACATCAAACCATACGCGTGTTCGTACTGTGATCGGCAGTTTACTCAAAAAGCCACAAGAGATACACACTTAGCTAAACATACTGGTTATTTTTCATAAAACTTATTCAACTTATATTATTTACAATTTTTTTTATAACGATTTGTTTTATTATAGGCGAATATTTATATTTGTGTTACGTTTGTAATAAAAAATATGCTACTAAAGGAAAACTAGATTTTCATATGAAGACTCATCAAGAAGCACAATATGAATGCACATTGTGCAATAAACGATTTTCTACTCAGCAGTATTTAAATTATCACATGAAAGTACATCCAGATCAGGTATGTGTACTGACTAGATGCAACAAAATTGCAGTACATGTCAATATTTTAATTTTGAAATATTAAATACATTTGACTATTTGATCACATAAATATAATGTCATATTCCATATTTGAATTAGAATAGAAAATTTATGTTTTAAATTTAATGAGAAACTTTAAATAATAGTATCTAAATTTTAAAAAGCATCAACAATACTAAAAATAAGTTAAATTTACATTTAAGTTAAGATTAAACTTGATTTGTAGACTACAAAAATTTGTAAATTTGTTTAATTATTGCTTATTTGTCTTTCAACAAAGTTAATTATATTGATTTTTTTATCTTCTAACTGTTTCAATCTTCTAATATCAAACATCTTACAAATTATTCTAATAATTAAAGTAGTGCATTAGTATCCCATATATAATAGAAAAACCACCATTTGATTTGAAAATGATAAATTTGTCGTAAGACAAACAATTTTTTATAAGTCAGTAGCCTTTCTAACTACTAAAGAGGAATAATATATATTTTATTAGAATTAAAAAATATTTATTAATTGAAAGTATATTGTGAGCAGCATTAGTTATAATGTTGAACAGCAAAATAGGGAAAGGAGATTCAAATAATAATAAATATGTTGTATAACAATTATAACTAGAAAAATACAAAGTGCAAGCAAATTTTTTTAAAAAACAAAATTTAAATGAACAAAATATTATTTGTATAAAAATACATGTCGTAAATATAAATTAGATTTTTATGTGTCATTTAAGACCCAACCTTTTGAATTGTGATTAAGTTATGATAATAACTAATTAACTCTATAAAATCAAAACTCAAATTAAGGACATTTTTATATGTTGTATTAATCGGATGTGCTTAAACGTATTACAATTATTGTAAAAAACAATCATTAAAAACTCAAATATATTTTAAATCATATTTGTTTAGAATACAAGTGGATTCAATTGCGATGTATGTCAAACAGAGTTTAAGAAAAGAAGATCTTTACTTGCACATAGAAAACAAGAACATCCATTTTGCATGTTTAAATGTCCAACTTTTGAATGTGATAAGGAATTTTCTACTGTCCAGTTGTTAAATAGACATATTAAACGATTACATGAAACAAAAGAAAGGTAAATCACAGTTTGAATATTATGTTTAATTTACCAAATATATTGTTAAAAATTTAATTTACTTAATTTATATGGTAGGGGTGTAATTTGTTCAGAATGTGGAAAATCATTTGATTTTCCAAATTACTTACAAAAACACATTGTTCGAGTTCACGGGCCAAAACGTTTACCAAAATTTAAATGTCGACAGTGTCCCTTGCGTTTTGACAATGATATAATGTTACATGTACATATGCAATCACATCCAAAGGTATGAAATATGTAAAGTATTTTATAGAAAGTATAAGTTTTTTTATTTTGGAAAATTAAATTTTATATATAATTTAAACATACAAAAGGAGTAATATTGTGAATATTAATTTATTTATATCCTTTTAATATAATAAGTTTAAAAATTACACATAGATAGGTAATTGAGAGTTAATTTTAGCTGTAAAAGCTTGGTAACTTTAAAGAACACACACGAGTAAAATATCTGGTAATAATGTATTAAAACATCAGAATTTGCAAATAATAACTATTTTAATTCATTAGTTCTTGAACATTGAAATTTATTTTGTAGGTGATAGTATTTACTATTCTTAAAATTTAAAATTATAATACAGTACTGCTGAGTGCCAAGATAAGAAAATGTGATGAATATCTAGAACCCAAAGGCTCTGTATTGTATATAATATATTTAATTAATGTTAGCTTTTAATTTTATTATTATGCATAATTTGATTAGAAACAAACACTAATACTATAGTATATATTATATTATACACAATATACTTAAAATTATAATTAAATTTTTTTTTAATTTTATGTTAATAATTAATAACTAAATTGATCCAAAATTTTAAACAAAATAATTTATGACCTTTAATTTTATATAAGTTAATGTCATTGATATTTTGAAAAAAAATTTAATTTTTTGTAATTATATTTTTATTTTTTCAGGATAATAAAAAAAAAGAAATCAAACGTGTGAGTTGTCCTCGAGATTCTTGTAATTTATCATTTTACAATCGTGTTAGTCTTCGATATCACATTGCAGAAAAACATGATAATATTTATCGGTAAATTTATTTATTTAATAGAACCTATAAAATGTATTATATTTATTTGACATAATATGGTTATAAATTATTTTTTAACCATGTTAAGTTTTAAACTTTTTATTTTTATTTTAAGGTATGAATGTGATACATGTCAAAAAAAATTTGTTCGTAAAAATCACTACGAATTACATAAGGCTGTTCACTTAAAACCAAATTTTACTTGCAATATGTGTTTTAAAAGATTTCGTAAAAAAAATCGTTTAGCTGCTCATTGGAAAAGGACTCATCAACAAGAGACGTTTGATTTTGGCATGCTTTTTAGTGTAGATACAATGCATAAATTAAATTTATAATATAATAATATATTTAATAAATTTAGTTCAAGTATAGTCAAAGATGAACTTTATTAGAATAAGATGCAATGTAAACTAATCAAGTAAGGACAGGGATGTTTAAGATGGTTTACTCTTTTGTCTTTTGGATATGTTATGTAATAATGTATCATGTATAAAACATATTTGAAGTAATCTAGAAAACAATTCAGGAATTCAGGATTAATTTAATATACATGTTTTATTATTATTATTATTATTATTATTATGTAGATCGTAAATAATTTAAAGACAACAAGCTTAGACATGATGATTGAATATATTCATTTTTTTTTCTGGACAAATTGAATATTCAGGTTATATAGCTGATAACAGTATAAATCTATTAGACATATTAATTCAAATATCTATCACCTGTTTATCAGATGCTTTTTCTCTAGGTAAATTCAAAGTTTTTTGACCAATTGGCACTAATTTTTTTACAAGTTTTCTTTGGGCTTTGGCTGTAGACTACATTTTATATTAAAATTCAATGCCTTAGTGTTGACTCACACTAGTATTTTTGTTTACCAAAGTTGAATAATTCTATAAATTATATAAATAAAATTAAAAAATGTAACTTGGTGTGGATGGATTAAATGACTCGTCATACATTACTTTGGGATTTATGTTTAATAAAATAATATTTAATTTATTATTTATTATTTAAATTGTCAAATGTATAACAAAAATCTATGTCTGTATTTTTATACATTTTAGATTTGAAAACTCCGCCAATTATTTTGACAAAGTTTCAGAAAATGTTCTTGGAGATCAGGAAAATATATGCACTTATTTGAATTGGATTCAAAAATATCCCTAAATAAGTGCTTTATCCATTCTGCTACAGTGGAATTGTCCATCTTGACAGAATTTATAAAATGAGATAAACTGATTTACCTTTGAACTAAAACCTAATTACACTGTTATACAGCTATATTTTTTGTTTGTCCCCTAGTTTGTTTTTGAAAGATTTTATTCTATCATAGATTTAGGCATTTGTTTTGAATATGATCTGTCTTTTAAGTTAATCATAAATAAAGTGTATAAGATGTTTGGATTTTATTAATAGAAAAAATACTTATTACTTTAAAAATTCTTTGGATTTAAAACATTTATATATTCTTTAGTTAGATCTAATCTAGAGTTTGCCTCTTTAATATAATCTATTAATTATTTAATTTTAATAATCTTGAATATTCAATATGAATTTCAGAAAAGAATTGCCTGTGTTACCTATTGTTCTATTTCTAGAGACTTCTTTCTTTTGGTTCAAGACTATAAGTCTTGATTTGCTTACCATTAGGCATTTATTTAATAAGTATAATGTATATTTATGATATTTTAAATTGCTATATTAAGTGTCCAACTATTTTAAATTTGATTGGATTTAGAATCCCTTGTAAGTCTGAATGTAATTCTTATTTGTTCTATTTACTTAAATTTATAACAAATTGTGATAATAATTCATTTTTCTCTAGAGTTCTTCTAAATGCAAATAAAATCTCCACAATCTTGTTATTATTTTTTTATTTCACCAAATCTTTAAAACAAAAACATAATTATTTTTATGTTTTAAAAATCATATATGTTTTAATTATTTAATTAATTTTTTTTTTAGCTTAGTTATTTTATATTTTGTTTTAAATGATATATATATATATATTCCTATTAGTTTTATTTGTATTATTATTTATTATCACTGTCTATGAGTTTCCATATGTCAATAGTATATAATATTTTGTTAAAGAGTTTATGCATGTTGATCAATCTAAATAAATTAATATAATATATATATAAATGTTTTTAAAATTATATTATGTTTAAAAATATATCAACAAGGTTACTGTGGTAAAGTCATTTTATTAATTATTTGTTACTAAGGACTATCTTGCAAAAAATAGAATTACAAAAAAAACATATTTATTCAGATTTTGCAAATTTTTATTTTTTTGTTGTGGTAAAATTAATAATTTAGGTTATTCTAGGTTCGGGATTTGATGTATTTACATATTCTTTAATAATGGCAATAGAATAATCTAAGTCAGAAATAAATTTGATGTAGTGGACTGAAATACAAAAATTTTAATTGCATATTTTTTCAATTGTCGTTTTGTAGACAAAACCATTGATTATAGAATATAATCAATGACAAAACGTATATTTCACAAATTTTACCAATTTAATTATTATTTATAGCATTTTGATTGTTTAATCATTTTTAAGTTTTATATTTTAAAAGTTAAAAAGTTATTATTTTTTACTATTATGTGTCAGTTAATATATCTCTAATAATTAATTATTTCTTGTGGCGTTGAAAAACACTTGTTAGAATAGAATAAAGTTAAAATAATTATTAATAGTATCGTTTATCGTAAACTATTTTGATTACCTATGTGAAAGGTTAATAACTAGGGTTAGGATGTTTATGACTTGCATATTTTTTCTTTTAGTCGTACACATTGCAAACCCAATAATAAATTCGTTTTATATGGCATAGAATCAGATATATTCAATTTAATTTTGCATATTTTTGCATATTTAAGGATTTTTATTAATAAATGCATATTTTGTCCAAAAAATAACTATATAATATTATATAAACATCAACATGTACCTATTGGTAGGCATTGTTGGTTTCATAACTAACGAAAACGAGAAAAACGTGTAGTTTATATTATTAATTTATCTTTATTACCTACTTATTTATCTTTACTATAATTTCACGTTTATTAATCAATATAATCATGTTTATGAACAATGATCGCAATAGTGTGGTGATGCTTATATTTTTAATTTCAAAAATCTCATATTTGTATATATTTGTATTTAAGTCTAAAGTTATAAAAATAATATTGTAAATTGATTACGAATAGATTTTGGATTAATACCTAATAAACTAATTTTAAAAAGACATTTAATTTTTTTTTAAGGGCATATTTTGATATTTATTGTGCATATTTCCACGCATTTTTTAGTGTTTTTAAAGTCATAAACATCCTTACCCTAAATAATAATTATTTAGTTTGTTTTCATGAATAATAAAAAATTGGTTACATATGTTGACCATATTTATAATCCTATTTTGACCATTTTTAGTGCAACAAGTCTCGAACTTTAGGCTTAGGTATTATATTATTCATCAGTTGAACGTAGCAACTAGCATGTAACAACCTTGGTAATGTTAATCGAAATGATAAGATTATAACTTAAAACTTGGTAACTAGGTACAACGCAAAATCGGTTAGAAAAAAAATACATTTAACCTAAAACCATATATGTTTAAAATGATCCGATCATAAACTTTTAACGTAGTTCTGACAGAAAATTTAATTTAGTTTGTACTTTGATGAGTCAAAAGTAAAAATTTCTCTATTGGTAACTTTTTTAAATTACCTACTCCGAAAAGTTCAAAACTAATATTTTATGAAAAATTTAACAATATAATTAAAGTTAGGTAGACCTTCTTTGATCTAAACTATTTTTGATACTTATTGATATTTACAATGATTATTTGATTAGTTATTTAATTAAAATATATTTCCATTTCAGTGACCAATACTCAACGACGAGGTATAGGTTAGGTACACTTGACTCCTACTATACAGCAGAACTGCTACCTACCTACCTAAATATTTCGTTATACATATTAATACCCGTATTACATTTTACATGTAATTAAGAATTGTAAAATATTTGTAAATAAATAAAAATTTAAAGTACCTATGCAGAACATCTATAAATAATATTATGATTTCTGTTTTTTTAAATAATAGGTACTAGTTACCTTATAGTTATTATTTCGTTCTGTTTGTTCTATACTACTTTTCCTTACTAACTAGTAACTACTACCTACCTGTTGTATATTTGACTACCTATCTGAATTAAGCAATCATAGTAGGAATTTTGCTGCTAAAAATAATTAATGAATATATTTAGATGACAGGTATTGAATTAATTAATCATTATCATTAGTATCCTATCCCTCAGAACGTGGCGACTATTATTAAAAGTTAGAAATAAAGAATTTATAATAATGCCTACTACTTAGTAGTGGTCATTTGTCCAGGATTCCCCGGGATGTTGCCGGTTTAGGAATCCATGTCCCAACGTCCAGGGCAAAGTTTCTCGGAACACCGATTTGTTACTGGTTTTAGAGTTTTGCATAATTGCATAGTAATGTCCTGGAATTTAAAATTGTTCTCATAATTCTTTTACTTACTCGGTTATCGGTTTTTAATTTTTATTATTGAACAAAACCTAGGTAATCGTAAATATTAATTATTATAACGAACATAGGAACGTATGATGACTATAATAAACGCTTTTTACATTTAGCCAACCTACTGTCTTTAATTTCTGATTACATTTAAAGTCGGGAAAAACCATGTTATGATTTTTGAATTTCGAGAATTGCGATTACGAAAGATAATATGTATTTAATATATTATAATGTATAGTTTATTAGTTTATACTCCAGTGTCTCCAGTATGCAAATATATGCCAATTGCCAATGATGTTGGTTGTATGTGACTGAAATTTAGTTATGTTCTTCACGTAGATATTTATACTTAAGTGTCGTGATTTTATTTAGTTTATTTATTTATGTAATAATTATGCCACTAAAAAAACACTGTCATTTTAACGAGAAATGGCAAAATTATTTCCTATTTGTTAAAAAACTAATCTACTGACAATTTCAAGGTACAGAGTATAACTTGTTTTGGAATATTTTCAGTAAGTCATGGTGGACAATCGGACTTACATGATCATCTCAAAACGCAAAAACATAAGTTGGCTACAAGGTCATTTGTTAAATCTGGTATGGTAAGATTCCCAATAATATTTTTGGTTTAGTTCCTACTGAAAATAATATTTTCTTAGCTGCCTACGAATTTATTTTTGTATACCTTACGGTAATTTACAATCAGAGTTCTCGTTCTATGCCTTTGAATAAAGGCAAATAAATTTGTATTGAATACATTTTTACTAAAAATATTACTTTAATAATTATAATAATATACGATAAAAGTTTTCGAGTATTCATAAATAATATTTTTATTACAATAAATTATCTAAAATTGTTATTCTTTATTTAAATATCTAATTTTGTTCAATATAAAATTTAAAATATCATTAACAAACTGGGTTTATATACTTTTTAGACTTTTGATTAGGTACAATAAATATGAATTATTTGTGAAAAATAGTTTTAAAACTTCAATCCTTAAGCTTAAAAATTGAAGATCTTACAAATATTTTGCAACAAAATATTGAATTATTACTTAAAATGTGTAAAAAAAAAAAAATTATTTTTATATATTTTCAATATTTTTGCACAGTTATAAAAACAACGAATGAAAAGTCTTTTACACAATTTTAAATGTGTTTACTCAGCAAAATTCTAAAAAGGTTCGGGATAATTACTTACCCCTCAAGGACGAAAAAAATCCCGTTTTGAAATGATTATAATGAAAAATGTACACGTCATGAAAATGTTGACGTGTATTTAAAGTGTAGTATTTATGAATTATGAATTATGATCACAAAAACATTAATTTTTCGTCCAAGGAGGTATATAAAAAAAGACGTTTGTTATTGACTATTTCTTTGTAGATATTTTAAATATCGTTTATTTATTAATATTAGTAAAATTGTCTTTGTGTATTGGCCTATGCATGTCTATTTGTGTAATAGTATTCAGGCGCCATCATATTACTTGAATTAAAAATTTGATTCCTTATTGCTTGTTTATGATTGTTTGGTCAGAATTCTAATAGGCAATACTGCAATAACAATTTAAAAGATAAGTCAATTTTATTATTATAATTATTAGTTTAAAGTTCTTAATACAAGTATTATTATGGTATCTTTATATTATGATAAAAGTATTAAACATTAAATACTGTTGAAATATACAATAAGTAATTAATATTATTAATTCAAATTTAATAAAGCTTAATATTTTTAAACAGGAAAGATTTAACGATTTAGCTATGCTAATCATAACTAAATAACTGCGAATGAAGTTCTTATTGAACTATCAAACAAAAAAACGACGTTTGGAATTGTTGTAAAATAATATTATTAAATATTCAATACTTCTACTTAATAGTTATAATTGTTTTGTTTATAAATCGTTTTTAATTTTCTAATAAAAGTACTTATTTTAAAAATACCATAGTGTGAACTCAGAATATTTTAATTATAGTCTTTGAATGAACTATTATTGTACTGGACATAGCTATAAAATTGAATTATTCCCTTCCCACCTCATTAGAAAATTAATAGTAAACTGATAGTATTTTTTATTTAAAAACACAACAAATATACTGAGAATGTAAGTAGATAATACTATACAG